CGCCGCCGCCGCAGCCCCTCCGCTGCCGCCCCGAGCGGGCCGGGCCCGACGGTGCACTGGGCTGGCTCAGACGATTCTCTTCATGCTGGTGAGCGTGGCTCTGACCGGGCTCATCCTGGAGGCGCTGCTCATCTTCTACCTGCATTCAAATCATTTCGAGCAGGTAAAGAGCCCATCGGCGTCCCTGCACACACATCATCGTCAACATCGGATGGGTCCCGCGTATAAATTGGCGTTACAATTTGAATTAAAATACTCTTTTACGCGTTTACTCTGAATATAATTTCTAAAAGATTATATATACACATTTATATACAACATATGCATTTTGGTCTTACAGTTTCTTTCCCTTTAAATGTATATCCATATAAATTCATTTAAGATTCAATGTAGTTTGCCTTTTTCAATCAAGTGTAACGTGTTTTATTTCTTTTAGTTAAAAAAATAATGTATTATTCCTTTTTAAAAAAAAACATTTAGCATTAAAAATATTTGCTTTCTCTTTCTAAGGTGAGATTTTTTTAACCGATCTATGCATTTTCTTTTATTCTTTACAAATTCATCATTTTATGACTGCATTTGATTTCTTAAAAACATGTATCTTTAGAAATGTTCACTTTTTACATGAATTTCGAAATATATTGAATTTATTACCCATTAAAAATACTTCACCTCTTTTGTCAAAAAAAAAAAAAAAAATCTAAAGTATTTTATTTCTATTTAAAACTCCTTAAACCGAGGGCAACTATACCAAAGACGGCTTTGGAAAGGTGCACCCAAAGTAAATTTGTCGCTGTTCTTGAACCAAATGGAGTATCAGCATAGTTTTGGTCTCTTTTTGAAATATTCAGAATTTTATCATTCTGAATATTTCTCTCATACAGTAAGAATTTGATTAGGTGCTCCTGTCCAGTACTGAACTATGGATGTTCGAAAACAGAAAAAAAAAGGCGAATCTTATGTTCGTCTAATTTCTTTTCACAAAATCTGCCTTGAAAATGGATTTGGTTGGTTACAAATTCCCCTTGAATCCCCGTCATTCTATCACTCACAGTAATATGCTGCCATGTATCTTTCAGAAGTAACATGGTGTGTGTGCGGCAGCCATTTTGACTCAAGTGGCGACAAAGGTTACAATGTTCAGTAGAGTTTGATGTGATGGCCGGTGGGCTTTTTGTGATACTTGTATAATCATACAGTACTTACAGTACACAGCATATGAAAAAGAAAATGCGTGAGCGTTTCCTGTTGGGGTCTTGAAGTTGCTCGTGGATGGCAAAAGACTAACACCTACACGGTGCAACTGTGGCAAAAGGAAGTGGTCGAGTTCCTGTTTCCCCCGGCTGACTGTCTTGTCGCACAAGCAACCATGAAGCATCACTCCAGCGAGGCTGACATCTCATTTCGATCTGTCTGACATGTTCACTTTGCGTTGCAGACGCCGTCAACGTCGCATTCCAAGTTGACTGCAGGTATGTTGGCGGCACCTTTTCAATTCAATGCTAAAATGAGGGCTCATAAGGCGCAGTATACAGTAGTCACCAAACAACGTCAGGAAAAGCCTACTAGAACATCTGAAAATGATCTGGGGTTTATCAACGCAACTTACAATGGCGGCGGGTGTGTGCTGACTCACCATTTAGCTTGAGTTTGGATGAATGTGAGCACAGCCAAATTCCCAGTTAGAAGAGGGTGTGCACACATGTGCAACATTATTTTTAAGTCATGGAGGATCACATTCATGGAGGATTTCCCCCCCCTAATGATTTATCTTGGTCTCATTTTCATACCTCATTTTTGTGTGTTTTTTTTTGGGTGTGTAGACTTTTTAGATCTGTAAATGACATCACTGTTTTTCCTCCTCCCCGAACAGAAAAAAAGGCATCTCCCCACATTTCCACTCATCATAGCTCTGTTTCCAAACCCCTCACACGGCTGTTGGGTGAGTCTCAAGTGCTACTACCGGTACTTTAGGAGAGTGGGTGCAACAACTTTTTCTTTTTTTTTTCCTATGGAGGTGTACAAATTAGAGTTCATATTCATGGCAAAATTCCCCCAAGAGATTTATCCTGGTCTCGGTTTTGTATCACAAATAACTGGCATTCAAACTGGGGTGTGTAGACGTTTTCGATCCATGGTAAATCCTCTTTATTACCTAGGTGTAGACTTTTTAGATCTGCAAATGACATCACTGTTTTTCCTTCTCCCCCAACAGAGAAAAAACGATCTCCACATACTTGCACTCCTGATTCCAAACCGGTCGCACGCCTGATTGGTGAGTCTGACACGTGCCGCTATTTTTGATTTCAATGAATGCAAGTGGCCCCAAGTTTTGAAATCAAAGCAAGAAAGTGTGATCGACTCAACTACAACATGGACCCCCCCACCCAAAAAGGGAACTGTTGCTGTTGGTTTCGCTGAAAAAGAAAATAGCACTCCCGTCATTTATTTTTAATATTATGTTAAAAAAAATACAACTTCTATTTGATTTTAATTCATATCTTTTAATGTGTAATTAGCCGTGACATTTTTTTGTTGACGCTAACCCATTTAGTTACTTAACTCATTTCATAAATGGATTTTCATATACTTTTAATTGTAATTGAAATATTTATATATATTTATTCTACCTCACAACCATAGGTAATAATAATGACCATGTTTTAAAAATAAATGCACCTTTCAAATATTTTGAAAATAAACATGTTGGGGTGTGAATTATGACGTGAGAGAACAGAAAGTTATGCAAAAAGCGGATGTTCAAGAGTTTAGGGAGAATGTCAAATGAAGTTGACCTCCTAACCTCGAATGCATACAGGGTGTCTCACACATTTCGTTTTTTTCCCAATTTCGTTCAAGTATCTGTCGAAGGGATACCTGAAAGGAAATAGGAAACCATAAGTGTATAAGTGTCTTTTGGGATGGTGCATACAGCATTGACGGCTGTTGTGTTGACTGTCTGCAGGTGGCAAAGATGCAACTCACGGCAAAAGCGTAGTTGGCTGGAGCCTTATTTCGGGCAATCTTCTCTGCGGCATGGACTACAAGAACGGAAGTCTGCTGATCCGCCGAGAAGGCTTCTACTTTGTCTACTCCAAATTGTCCTTCCACAAAAGCGCCACCACCTTCCACCACACCGTCGTGAAGCGCACTCGCCGGCACCCCGGCGGCACTGTCCCCCTCTTGCAGGCCAGGGAATTTTCTTCTGCAGACAAGAACAACGGCAACACTTTCCTCGGCGGGGTCTTTCACCTGCTCAAAGATGACGCTCTGTTTGTCAAAGTCAGCGACACTTCCAAAATAGTGCAGGTCATCGCTCACGAGAACGTCTTTGGTGCATTTATGATATAAATGGCGTCGTGTCATGCTTAGGGTCAGCTGTTTCAGACGCTTTTATCAAAAATTTTACGTCGCTTTTTTTTTACCTTTTTGTGCTCAGGCCTAAGACATGTATGTACTGCTTGTGTCATCTAAATGCAGTTACAATTTAGTGGGTGGGGGTGTCAACGGCAAGATTTTTGATCTTTGCGACAGGGCTTGGTCTCTACTGAAAACTACGGCTTACATTTTCAAATCGCTAACTATCAGAGATTCAAGCAAGAACCGTCCTGATTTGGATCAATTATCATGTGACCTTGGTACCTGATTATAAATAGTTAAACAAGTAAATATGCTCGTATGCACACTCACAAGCACTTCGACGGATCGGTTATTAAAATGCTATGGTAAAGCCAGAATCCCAAACATCAAATAGAGCTAGCTAGTTTAGCTTGAATGCTGTAGTTAGTAAATATTCTAGTTTACTCACACAATTCTCCAAACTCTCTCTCTCTCATTCACACACACACACACACACACACACACACACACACACACACACACACACACGCGCGCGCGCGCACACACACACACACA